GGACGTGTACGCGCGTACGCGAGGCACGCGATACATGCCGGGGCCGAAAATTCCGGATTTCTCGCAGAGACCGAGGCGAGAGAAATGAATTTTTCATCGTTTCGCGGCGCACCTCCTGGTCCTTTGGGAGGAGAGATCCTTAATCGGACGCCTTCCCGGGCAGGCATCCGCGAGCGTCGCATTCGCGAGCGAGAGTAACCGATGCCCGGCCGCGGTTCTCCGCGACGGCGCCGGCGCGGAATGCATCGAGGGAAGCACCGTCCAGGAGTCTTGAAATACTCGTTAATCTCGCCGGCGCGGCGGAAGGTGGCACAGGGAATTTAAAGGAGCTCGTTTTTAAAGCTCGCCGAGTCCTTCGGGAGCCACTATTGACCCGAGGGATTTCTATGGACCGCCGGACGAGCGACCCACGGCCGCGCGTGATCCCGCGACCGCTTTCACGCCGACGATACGACCGAGACTCGGATACCGCGATACGAGGAAGGTCGCGCTTTCAAGGGGCCAATTCGGGAAAGCTCGTAGAGAATTGAAAAGACCCGTGAACGGTCCCCGCAAACGAAATCCTTTGACGCGGTGCCAGTTAGTCGGAGGAGCGATCGAGAAGTCGGGCATCGTTCTCCAACGGAAGAGAATTAAGAGCAGGGGTGAGGGGCCAAGGGAGCGGGCAAGGGTGGCATAGAAACGGTTGGAGGCGTTTTTTCCGGTTGCGCGAGCCCGCTCCCGCGGGCAACGCGTCGCTCGTTGCACGGAGCGGTCCTTTGCGCGATTAATCACTGCCGACCGCCACCCCGCCATGGGAGGCCTGTATATATTTCGACTTGTCCCACTGTCGCCTCGGTGGGATACTTTATCGCCCCGCGAGCCCACCGATTCACTCGCATTTTCATACCGGACGACTCTGATAAAGCGCGCCGTTTAGCGGGGCAACGAGCGCGGATTTTCCGACGGAGGGAAAAATCCGCCCTTCGCCTGGGCTCTAATGGCGGCGGAAGGAGCGAGCCGAGTGTCGCTCCTCTCCATTTTTCATCGCTATTCGATTCCACCACGAGATTGCTCTCCTCCCCGGCAGGAGGATCTCGCGGAAGCCCGGAGGAGCCGGAAGATCGGCGACGATGACACGCTCCTAGGGGAAGGAAAAGACGGGCCGGGACGACCGCGTCAGGGTTACCGTCTCGACGAGACAATTCACGACGCTCGCGCGGCCGATCCGTTTTTCCCGTCCAATCGCATCGTTTCGTTTTGCATCGAACGGAAATCCAGCTCTCGGTATTATTTGACACGGTCAGGCGAAGAACGGCAGCCAAATTTATTATCGTAGATTGCTGTAATATCGGTTGACGGGGTAAACAGGGCACGAGGCAGCGCGGCGAATCCGCTTTTCACGAATATGGAAACATTGTTTATTTCAAAAAGAGAAAATGTATGCGTGTAAGCATATAGAAGCGATAAATGATAATTTAAAAATCTGATACGGCATTGCTCCGGTGGACAGTTAAAATATCAAATACGCGCATGCACGGTTTCGCTCAGAATAAATAACTTCCTCCAATATAGCCCGTTATCGATCTCTGTTCGAGCGATTTTATTCAAGTCCGGTGAAATTGGGCGTGAGTGATATTTATTTTGCGAAACACACCGATAGCAAACTTCGCTGCGGAACTTCCGACAAACGTTAAGGAAAATAATTCCAGAATATCCGTTCTCTCTCTCCTTTTATCGGGAATTTCATCCTCCGGAAGTGGACTCGAACTCAAGACCCATCCACGATATTTCCGTCCCTTGATCTGCGCCTACGATCTCTTCAAAGTTAGACTCGCCACTTTTCTTTTCATCGCGCAGGCCGAAAACTCGAATGTTAATCAGAGCGTAATCGGATTTAAATTCACTTCGGCGTAGAACTTCTTGGGGGGCAGTGGAAATTTTTTTACGCCAGCTTTTATGCCTCGAGGTGACGGCGAAGCAGAAATCAGAGGGGAAGAGATCGCTGAATCTGCACTACCTCTTCAGATTTAACGGATACAGTCATCCCCTCGTGATCGTTTCAGTCCTCACCCTCGCGTCATCGTATCAAGCTAGCATAAATAATATTACATCTTGAAAGCTCATACCTTTTCCTCCCCTTATTACCACTTAACCCCCCTTCGAAAAATGAGCTAGTTAGCATCCAGTCGCAAATCCACTACGGTAATTTAAGCACGCGTCTCGTTCACGATAACGAACACGACGTCCCTATTTTTTAACGTTCCATCAAAAGCTTAATGACATAAATGTTACGCGCCGTTATAATCCCTTATTTTCTGACGTATACGAGACGAACTATATTTCGCGGTAAAGAATGCGAACATGGCAGGACATGGAACTCGTTATCGCAGACCTTCATCTACCACGGGCAACTCTGGTGTAATTAATTATTTTTCAAAGCTTCGCGATGCGTTACCGTTGGTCTCGGTAAAAGCGTTAACAATGGATAAACCGTATAAAATATCATTTCCAAAATACAATTATTATTTGGTGCACTGGTGCAGAAAATCGAACAGGTCGTACAGTCAAAAAGTTTATCGGTTCACGGATCCCTTACTTCCTTGGGTATTTTTCTTTAAATTTCTATAGAATCGCTTTTAAACGTTCAAGTTAAACTACCCTGAGCCTCGAATGGAGCGTGGCCTCGATAAATCGTTAGACCACAAGAGGGCTTCGAGGTATCCGTCTTTTCCGCGCATTTATTATTCGGCGATCGAGAACCCATTCCACGGGTACAGCGTACCGAAACGCTGTAGTCGTGCCACCGTGAAACCCATTTCGAGACGGACAGCAAAACGATCGGGACGGCAACGGAAGGTTTTAGAGAAGAATTTAATATTGCGAAGAGTCGCCGCTTTGTTCATTGGCCACCGCCAGGGCCAATTAGTCCTTGGGCGGAACGCGATGCCTAAGACGGCCGCGAATCGCGAATGTCCACCTCGGACAGACTGGCCGGCACGTCGTATAACGTATCCCCGGTTTTGGCATGGGAGAACGTGGAATACGCATTCGGATAAATAATAGCGCGGTAACAAAGGACGTCTCGGCGGTATTTCAGCGGGCAGGGGTGTCGGCCACGGCGTCGCGGCGACTGCCGGCCCTCGCGCGAGGATGGGCAGTCGCCGGGGAAGGGTAAAGTCGAGAGGGGCCAAAATGCAAGTAGCAAAAAGCAGGAAAGCGCACTAACCTGAGTGTCCACTATTTTAGTCCACTCCTGCCGAGTCCTTTTTTGCGGTTGCATCCACAGGATACTCGTAGTCCATCCGTTGTCCATCTATCGCCAGGGAGGCTGCCGCTTGAAAACGAGGTCTACTCGGAGTTTTCCGGGAAGCAATTAATTAATATCGTTCCAGAAGCTTTTGATCGACCCCGGGGAAAAATCGAACCGCCTCGGTAACGATATCGCAGAAAGGCGACGTTTTCCGGGGGCTTGCGCACTTTACGAGCAAACGTCGGGGTGGAATCGACACTCGAGAAGGATTCGAAATTTCCGGAGAACGCGAGAGTTTATTTCCAACCGTGGGATTCGGGGCGAATTCGGGTTGGGGCGGCGGACCGGGGCACGGATGCAGGGATGCAGGGATGCGCGGATGCACGTATGCAGTATCGTAAAGCTCGCAGCGACCGACGAACCCGATGCCCACGTCGCCCGTAACACCTCGCCGCAGAGTAATCGCACGTAAACGTAAAGTCGATCTCCCGACGCGGTCGACCGCGGCCGCCTGGCCCGAAAATGGCACGGCTCTCGCTCCAGCTCCCGATGCGATTCGTCGGTCGTTTCGGAGGGTAAACAGCCGAGGATCTCTCGATTAATCCGGCGGTCCGACCTGGCTTTCGACGGGATCTCCCGGTCGACGGCGAACGATGCAAACGACGGACCACACCGACGACAAAAAGCACCCCGCGGTCCATCGGACCCTGCCCGGTTCTTTTACCGGGGAACTCGACTCGCCCTCCGCGACGAGAATTTGTTTCGAGGCGGGACGCGCGTGAGCGCGTTTAATGCGCTTCGGGAGTACAATTCCGTTTTTGCCAGGATCGTGTAAAAATTAAACCCGCAACCGTGGAAGGATTACCCGCGCGCGACGTTATGTGCGGTGCATCCACAGAAATGGGGTTCGCCCAACCGGTATCGAGCCAGTACACCTCCACGTTTCGCAGCCCTCAAGGAGTTAAACACAATTTCCCACGGTTCTCGGTCTGGAAAATTGAATCTGTTACGAATTTATGGAGTTTCGTATTTCGTATTCGGTTTGCCGGAAATCATGGATGGAGACGAGACGATGCGGAGCCGTAGGGGATCTCGAAATTATTGTAACGGTCTCACAGGCGTAAATACTTTAAGCAATTAAACCTGGCATCGACGAAGAGAACGTCGATCCTCCCGGAAAACCGAGGGTCGATGTTAAAAATGACCGACCCCGGTCCGCCGATACGTCCATCGAAGAGGGAACGAAATTCGCCTGGAAGAGGCAAGTATACCTAATCGAATCATCCCGGGTTCGCTAGGTCGAAGTCGGTGGGATCTTTTCCGGCTCCGGAAGGAGCGGATCGCGTCAGAAATCGGTGGAGTCTCTCTCGGCTTCCGAGCATCGTCCGTCCTCTTCCGAGAGCGGCTCCCCGAGAAGAGGGCGAGAGCAACGAGATATCGAAGCCGGCGTCCCATCCGTCGGCATCCGCTCGCGCCCGCTTCCCTGGGAAGAGTCGAGGTCGACCGACAAAGGTCCTAATGCGGCCGAATGATGATACGTAACAAACCTTATTCAACAAAAACTTTCGGTAGTAAATTGAATCCCGTGTCGAGTGGCGGAGTCTGGAGGGAGGCGGTCGGGGCGCTCCAGGGAGGGAGGGGTCGGCGCTCCAGGAGAAAGGGCCAGTAGCGCGCGGGCGGCCGGTGGTGGGGGCGGCCGGGCGGGCGCGTGCGCGGCCCGCGACGGCTCGGCTTCGCGCGGTGGCGCTCAGTCTCGCCTGTCGCAATCCAGGGCAGATATACGTGCAATTACCCTGTCAACGGTGGCTGGAAATCCCTCGGGCTCCGCGGCGCAAGGTTCCGCGCGATCGACGAGCATCGGACCGCGCGACTCTCGACCAGTGAATTCCGATCGATCGGGGGTCGATCCGCCGACGTACTCGCGGTGCGGTGCGCGCTCCCGGAAAGTGCCGAGACTCGTTCGAATCGCCGCGGGCGATCCCGACCGGCCAGTCGAACGACGCCCGCGGGGCCGCGTGGACGCATCCGGAGACCCCGCGCGCGCGCGCCCGAGCGCGCCCGAGCGCGCCGCCAGCGGGGACCATGTCGGCCTGATCGCGGAACCCCGTAGACCCGACCGCCTGCCGCCGACCGCCGACGGGATGACTCGCCACCTGTGGATGGACGTGGCCCTCGTTCTTGCGCTCGTCGCAGGTAAGCGCGACGGAGTTACCCCTAGAGTCCAGCCGGCGAGAGCGGCCTGGCGTGCGGGACACCGCACCAAGGGCGACGGACGGCGACCGTGAAACGAGTCCTCTCCGGAACGACGCCCTTCTCGACGGCGGCTGTCTTTCGGCTCGTTCCACTTCCCGGACTCGTGAGCCGCTGGCGCGATCTTTCTTCTCCATCTACGGTACAAATCTGGAGCGGGAAGGAGGAGCGCTTCCCCGAAGGGGAATCGCTTCCCTCGCTGTCTCTTTCCTTTGATTGCCAAGACCCCGAAGTTGGTTCCGGAATCGCCGGCGGTCCCGGAGGAACGCCCGAGGAGCGCGGTTTACGAGGCATTAACCTGGCCGACTTTTGCCGACTTGACGGAGTGACTTCAGTTCGCACGCGAGCGGTCTTTTGCTCCTCTCGCCTCGGAGTTCCCTTGGGCCCGTGAGGAGGAAACCGTTCGAGAAAGCGCTGAATAAGTGCGCGCCCTCGCCCCGCGAAACGCCCAAAGACCCGAAGAGAGATACCCCAGAAAGCGGGAGGGGGGAGGGAGAAAGGAGAGACTTCCACTCGTTGCCAAGCACGGGAAAACGTTTCCTCGCGTGTGCGCCGCTGCGGTTACGCTTTCCTTGGGAGTTTACCGGAGTGGACGGACCGTCTCTCCTTTTCGACCGCCCCTCGATCTCGTCTATCCGTTCCTCGACATTTGGCCCGAGATCCGAGGAAGACTCGGCTCCGGAGTCCTCCGAATATAACCGTAACCACCCTTTCCGATCATTCGATGCGCTCCGCCGATCCTCGGGGTAAAAGTATTTCGACGTACGGGTTCCACTCCGGCCCGACGACGAGGGCTTCGATGATAAATCCGACTTTGTAGTCTTCTTTGGGTTTTCAACCGTTCTAGAAATTTTCGCCTTAATCGGTATTTATGCGTCCCGCCCGAGTATCGAGGCTGGAAAAAAAACTTTGGTAGGAGCTTCTTATTTTTTCCAAGGTACTTTGGGCGGTTTCGGCGTTTCCCTTGACTCCCCCCGAAAGAGGTTCTCCTTCTTCGCGAAACTTTGGGCGGTAACTTTTGAATCATAGCGAGTTGGCCCCGAAACGATGTACCTGCCGACTGGCGTACTTTGAATCGGATAACGGCGATGCCATTGGAGATAACGTTCGACCCGTGGGGTAAAAGTTTAGAGCGTCGCGAACGGTCTGCGTAACGATTTAATGGTACAACTGCGCCAGTTCTTGTTACCGTGCGTCCATTACACTTGACACCGAACCGTCATCGCCGTTACTCTTCATCTATTTTTCCCAAACTTTCCCTGATTAATCAGCCGTTTGGTACAAGTTTGAAGGACCGTGAGAAACAATTAAGAACTTCGGTCCTCTGCAATCCGCGGGAAACTCCTCTAGAACTCGCCTTTGCTTTCGCGGAACTTTCCTTAACGATGACAGAGTTAATTGGGTTAAAGAAGATACGTAAGGACTTTTCGGTAGGAACCGTTCCGCTACGTGGGAACGACATCGTCGTCGACGGTGCGGGGCCTTTAAATTCCCTTTGCGCGCAAATTCGAGCCACGCGTTTATTGCGATCCTTCTTCTTTCATGTCGCGCGACACCCGGACCGTTCCATTCGTACATCAATCATGAATAATGGGAACGGAGGGAGGCACCACTCGGGTTAAGTGTATTGCGAGAGAAAGCTGATGCCCTATTTATGGGTGCTGGTTATTTAACGAATCCGGAAGGATAACCGTCGTCGTTGACAAACGTTCTCGGATCCTCGCCCCCATTGATTTCGCCGTTAACGATGGAATATCTTGGAGGATTCGATCATCCGGAAAGTGGTCCGTAATCAGTCGATTGGGCAGAAGTCGACTTCGCGGATCGGATTACATTCATCGAAAGTAACTCGCGATGGAAAGTCGAAGTCAGAAGGAGGAGCCCCCGACTCGCTTCGTTTTCCGGGAAGGAATAATCGGCACTCGAGCGGCAATCGCGATCACGAAGCCCCGAATCGCTGTAACGGCACCCTGGAAATTTGCGAGCCCTCGGAAGGGACGGGGCGGGAACGACGTCGAGAAGGACCGGCAGGATGAGGAGGATTAGTACGAGAGGCAGATACGGAATCGACGCTACGTGCGCCGAGCCGGGGAAGCCGTTTCGCCGAGAACAATGGCGATTAGGCGATCCGAAATTGTCGTAACCGAGCCGTTCCTCGCGTTCGGGCCGGCAATTCCGGGAGCTTCCAGGCACACGGGTACAAAGAAGGCTCCAGATGGAGCCATTCGGAGTGCTCGAGATATGTCGCGTTTCCTCGCATTTCCGTAAAATAAAAAACCACTCACTTTCCGGTCCATGACGAAAGCCGATTTTTTGTCAGCCTTGAAATTCGATGCTCGTTCGAGACGAAGTTTATTACTCGTAATATCTGGTTAACGCCACCATCTTGAGCGCTTTCGGTACTCCGGTGGTGATCGATTCGATCGAAAGGAGCGTGGCCAACCCGAGCAGTCGGTGCGAGGTAGTCGGAAGGACGAAGCGAGGAGCTAATCGACGCTCCACCCACGGTCGCGATTAGGAAGTCCAAGTAGTCATAACAGGCACCCTGGAAATTTGCGAGCCTTCGAAAGGGAGGAGGAAGAGCAGGACGAGGTCGGTTAGCCCTAGGAGGGGCAGATACGGAATCGACGTAACGCGCGGCGAGCCTTGAAAGCCGTTTCCCCTAGAACAATGGCGATTAGGCGATTCGAAATTGGCGTAACCGGGCCGTCCTCCGTGCGTTCGGCCCAACAATTCCCAGAGCTTCCAGGAACTCCGAGCGACACCGAGCACAAGATGGCAGCAAATGGAGCCTTTCGGAGGGGCCGAGACTCGCCGCGTCCGCAGAGGTCCCCCGTGCGGAGCAGCCGGTCAGTCTCGGGTCCATGCGGGAGGACAACCCCTTTTTTTCTCGAGGCATAAAATTGGGTCGGCCTTTCGGCCGCGCGCCATTCGAGACGAGGGTAATCGTATCCGAATATACCGGGTGACCCACTCCGTATTAGCACCTCGGACGAGTGCTTCTCGAGAGCGGGCGCTGACAGGGGTGCTTAACGGCGCGAGGATAGGTTGGACGCATCGAGACGTCCCGACGCGAGATGAAAGGAGCGCTGACGCTTTTTCGAGACTCCGGCGGCCGATACGAGGAAAAGATCGATCACTGGTGTCAATCCCGTGATCCATCGAGGGCGACCGGGGGAAGGAGGCAGTTGGCTCCTTGTTTCTTGTGCGCGGAACCCGCCGTGGAAAGTTCCAGACTGTAATTTCATCTCGCACTTCCCGCGTTAAAATCTCGCTGCCCGGTAAACGCGTCTCATAGTTCGCGCGACTTCATCGCGAAGTCGGACGAGACCGAGGACGATCCAGAACCTGGGGTCGAGTCGCGAACCACCGCCGCAAAGGGTGCCTGCTTAGGGGGAACGAATTGGGTAGTGAAAGAATTTCCGCAACGCGGTCCTTCCGGCACCTTTTCTCGGCGACGAGGTCGCTCCGTATTGCGGGAGCCGTGCCCGAGTAAGCCGTCTCAAAAACGGACTACGTGGAGTCACACGGTTCCAGGCCGGCATTTGTCGCCCCGCGCCGGTCGTTACGGCGAAGAAGAGCGGTCAAACTCTTCTGGCTGCGGCCAAACGGAAAGCCGCTCGCGGAAAAAGAACCGCGCCCGGACTCCTTCCCCTCCTTGTCTCTCGCGCTCTACCTTTCCCTCTCGAGGAGGCGCACAGCCGCGGAAACCTTCCAGGTCGTAATTTCATCTCGCATTAGCCGCAGCCGGAGTCTCGCGAGGAGCTGAATGCGCCTCACGGTTCGCGGGACTTCTCTCGCGGACTCCGCGGGAGAAAACGCTGCGTTTTGAATGAAAACCGCGACCGACCCGGTGGCTGCTGGGGCAAGCCCGAGAGAAAGGGAACTTTCTTGGGTTTTTAACGGCAGGGAAAACGCCGCTAACCGAGAGGGTCGGTCGAGGCGGGCGTGAAACACGCGCGGGGACTTTTGTCAATTCCGCGTGCTCCGTTAACGGGAGCCACGGGAAGGGGACGGCAGTCTGCGGGAAACGGGCCGAGGCTCGTCAAGAGGGGGGCAAAAGACTCGTGGAAAAGCAAACTCGCCGATTCTTTTCGCCCCTACCGGGCGAATTCCTCCTCGGGGGGAAATCGAAAATATTATGGCGAGCGCGGAGCCCTTTCTCCGCTCGATGGCGGTCCTTGGGAGGAAAGCTTGGGGGCGATCTACGATATCTGGGTTTGTTATAGCAACACTTCTGGATATCGCGGCGCCTCCTTGCGGGGCCTCGAGACGCATCAACACCGGTCGGATTTATGGCGGTTGTTGGTGTTGCGGAGACGCGACTTTTCGAGACCGGGGCGTACTTCCGATCGGGCCGGAAACGATGGAGCACGTAATGCGAGGGAAACTTGTCAGGAAGATGAATCGTCATTTTCCTCTGTCGAGGTAACTCCTCGCGTCGCACCCCTGCCCATAGCTTCGCTCGCGTGGAACTCGCGAGAAATCGGATGTCGCGGGTCGGAAAGAAACAGCAGAGACGCGAAAAGTAATCACGGAAGTACGCGTCTAAATCCAGACGGGGAAATCGATTAGGAAAGATGGAACGCGACGCGAAAGTATAATCACGGTGCTCGTGGTTGTCACGGAACAAACGAGTTGCCAAATCATTGAGCTACTATTAATTCATTAGCCGGAGCCGTTCGTGAAATTCGGTCAATTCCTTTCACGCGGCGCCCCTCCGTTGCGTCTTTTACGGGCTGACGAGGACACGAGGGGAGTCCATTCTTGAAATAATTCCTGAAATGACTTTTAAGAGCTTCGGGTACAAAGAGTAAACTGCCCTCTTTGCGGCCACGTGAACTCATGAAAAGGCGCCTTCGAGATGTCCTCGAATTGAGAGAGGCCAACTCGAAGCGAGAATGCCTACCGTTGTCGCGATCAATTTTTACCCCCCAACTTTT